TTTACCACATTGTTTGGGTTTTGTTTGTATTTTTTAAATAAATGGATGGATTTCTTGTATGTGTGGGCTTTAGGTAAAGTGAATCTCCTTTGTAATAGTTTTATTTTGAGAGTGTACTTTCCTTTAGGTGAAAAACTATAAATGTGTACCAACCTACCTATTGTTTATGTAGATGTCATGTAATTGTTTTTAAGACAAACAAACAAAAACCCAAAACTGAGTCTTAGGATACTTCCATCCATACCTGGACACTTGTTTTACACACTTGTTTGGTGTATCTCCTGAGTGTTTTCTGATAGTACCTCATATTATTGAGTGAACTGATTACTGATGGTATTGGGGGAGGGCCGTCTCGATTCCCTCCCATGAAACATTTTGGCTCCATTTTCTTCCTTGATTCACTTGAAATATTAGTGAAGTCTGGAATTTTGCTTAGCATAAAACCATGCATTCCAGGCACTTAGCTGAGCCCTAGTTGTCTTCCTTATGGAGGTTACTCCTGCGATCTTTATTATGCATAGTGATGATGAAGATTTGCTTGTAATTCCTGCTGCCATATGAGAAAGCTCACATGCCCCTGGAGACCTTTCCCATGGATGAATATTCCTGAGGGCTTCTCTTTTCTCTCTTGTTTTCAGTTAACTTTTATTTTTGTGGTACCTTGGTATAATCCTTCTTCTCTCTGCCCTCTTCTTCAATGGAAAATAATGTTACCACTTGATAATTCCAGAGAAGGACAGTTGTCTAGATGCTTGTCCTTCCATAAGATTTGTTGTAGGATCTGGAAATCTCACCCGGTTCTGATATTTTAAAGTTTCTTTGGTAAAAAAGGGTAGACTATATATGAACACTTTGAAGAAGTTACAAAGGGATGCTATGAACCCAAAAACTGGCTCATGATCTTCATTAATTTTTACATTTAGTTTTGTCAAAATGACCACTATAATGATGGCCTTTTAGAATATTTCTCTCAGGTATATTAAATTTAAACTTTTTCAGATAAAACAGGATGCATTATGTCTTAATAAATATCTAGTCTTATTATTATTATCAGTCTTTACCCAGAAAGTAAGAAAATCTTTGAAACCCTACTCACAGTTGAAAATATAAATTAAATGGAAATCATTCCATTGTTAATCATGCTTAAAGGGAAATACTTGCATATTTAAATTACTATGCTCCCTTCATAGTATAGACTGTATTTTAATATTCTAAAATCAAATATACCATATTATAATATGTGCTTTCAAATTCTGACCAGCCTTTAGAAAGTGTAGCCAAGTCATTTGTGTGCTTATGATCATTTGGATCAAAACCTTGCTGGCTTATTTGCTGGTCTGTTTGCCACCAGATAACTTTAGAAATGCATCTTTACATCTGAGAAGGACTGGAAAACTCTACTATCATCTCTGTTTAGGCACCTCGGTTTAAAATAGAATTCCCAGTGGCCTCATCTGTGGCAACGTGGTTAAGGAAGGGGAAGTGAATCCATGAATAGCTAGATGTGGCCACAGCTGACTAAGTCTGAGGCAACCTAGGAATTCTAGGAGCCCCATGGATGTCACCACATGGTTTATGGGAAAGTAGGGAATTTAGATACAGGATGCATAGCTGGTTATACATCAGACTCCTTCAGAAAGACCAATCAGGAACACATCAGGGGCTAATATCTGTGCTTTTATGTTAGAAATTACCTGCAATTGCCTGAATAAGAGTTATAGAACTGGAAGAGTCTAGAAATCGTATAGCTCTAACATTGTTTTTAACTTGAGAAATTTATGTCCGGAGAATGTAACTTACTCCACCCAAGGTCCTGACGCTTGGTTTGTTGACTAGCATCTGGGGTGGTGGAACCAAGAGACATGGGTTTAAATCCTAAACATCACTCTTTAGCTATTTGAGTCATTTAACCTTTGTGAGCCTCAATTTCCTTGTTAGTGTAAAAGTAATGATCATATATACTTTATCAGTTTTTGGAAGGTTAAGTAAAATAACGTATGGGGGAAAACCTTCCGTCTTGATGAGCACCCTGTAGGCCTTCAGGAAAGTGCAGTGACCTGTTCTCTTTCACCTGAGCATCTTACACCAGGCTCCTTCCTCCTGAGAAACATTAAGTTTACTTTTCTGAGAGCTGAACCTTGGCCAGTAATCATGAGCTAAGTAAGACACTGATATGAGCCCTCAAAGGTTTAGTAAAAATGAAACTTAACCACATTCCAAGGTTGCCTGCCATAATAACCAACTGAAACCAATTTCTGCCAAACCCCCTGTACTTCATTTCTCCTTAGACAGCCTGTCCAAGATGCTGAATAGTGCCCACAACGCAGAGGGGAGTCTGGCTGTTAGGGAATACAAAGACATAATCCCCACTTTTTCTCCACTCTTCCTCACCTTCACCCCTTTCTCCATTTCCTCCACCTCTCCTTTCCCTACTTTCTACCCTTCCTTCCCTCCTGCTGCCTCTTCTTTCTGCTCCCAAGTAGATCAGATCTTGGACATGGCCATCAGTTCTCATAATACTATTTACATTTCTGCCTATTTGCATCTCATTGTAATTAGCTGGGTTATCCAGAGCTTCACTCCTGGCTCTCCTCCTGGAATTGTAAGTGAATCTGTTATTTTATAACACACCTTTGGACCCTCTTTCCATCTGGCTATTGTGTGTAACCACAGATGCCATTAAGTCCTTCCTAGTCTCCTTACAGTCCCAATTCTTTTTTTCTGGAACTATCTAGTTTACTCAGAGTTCCCTGTATCTATCTTTCCCTATTCACATGGCCAAAGAGAAATATGTACCTGTACTTTATGAGTAGATAGATGCTGGATGGAAAAAAAAAAAAGAACTCTGGTATACATCTTTCTAGGAATACAGAGCTATACTTTACAGGCAGAAATAATAGTTAACAGAGGAAACATAACACACATATATGTCATTGTTCCATTTGAGTTTTTTAAAAAAATGAGGGTCATGGGTATTTGGAGAAAGGTGTTTCTGGTGAAAGGTGCTACAGGAGAGAGATGAGAAAGTATGCCTGCTGTTGTGGGAAGTAAGAGAAAAATTGTGAGTTAAATGGGAAGATAGAACAGTGAACTTCAACCTTGAGCATTTGCATCAAAATGAAAAAGGATTGGGCATTATTTTTAAAATAGCTTCTATCATATATTTTTATTACAAAATAAACGTACTTTGATGATAGAAACATTAGAAAATGCCAGTAATCAGAAAGGAAAAAGAAACCATCAGTCACCCATGTAACACTGATAATGCTTTGTAAATGTTTTCTGATGTTGTCCAATATTTTCACTTATCACAAACACCTGTCCACATAATGAAATATTCTTCTATAGTATCATATTTATGGCTCTGTAGTCTTGTATCATGTGAAAATTTCATAACACAAGTTTCTAAGTGTCTCTGTTGTACACATTCCCCTCTCTGTGTGTGTCCTGGTGAATATGCCTTCCTTCTGCATGGTGCAACAAGGGCTCGGACTGGCCATACCTCTACTCAGTGGTTTTACAGATCATTAGCTTATTGTCCACCTCTGTTTATTGTATTTCTTTGTGAATGCTATTCTTATTTATGTGTATATGCTTTAATACTCCAGTACTAATTTTGATGGCAAATTCAGGGCAAAAATAGGGGGAAATTATATGTAAGAGTCATGGCGGTGGCTGCCATACCCTATATTATCTAACCTCTGATATCTAATGAAACCTATTTGAGAAAATATATTGAGCCTGATTAAGACTTGCATTGGTTAATTTAATCAGCCATGGCAATAGTGTTATAAAGACTCAACTACATTTTTTGCGGAAAGCGTAAGTTATGGTTAGAGAATTCTGCGTTCAGGTATTGAACATGCATTGATCCATTTCTCACCATAACACCTTGAATAGTGTACACTATCATCTTATTTTGTAAAAGAATTAAACTCCTGCACAGAAAGGGTAGTAAGTAGGCTAAGGCTAAACAGCGGAAAAGGTAAAGCTGGGTTAGGAACCCAAGGTGTCTGCTTGGAGCCGGCACTCACTCTTAACCACTACTATCGGAATGCCTACATACAAGTGCCTTCCCAGTTAATTTCAATGTAGGTAACTCCCAATACCGGGAAAGCGTGTTTACACTACAGGATATGGTGAGGATTTTCACAAGGCAATTCACACGTAAAACACAGTCCACAGTGTGGAACTGCAAACTCCTTTTCCAGAAATGTGCTTGCTTTTATTTCAAGGAGTGAAATGACTGAAAGCTAATTTGGAGTTTTGGCTTTGAGAAGATCTATTTTGAACTGTATTATAAAATATAATCCAGAAAGGCAGCCAAGTTGTATTTTAATTATTAAAAATGAAACGGAGTATACAAATGCCTGTATAACAATTGAATTTGAAATTTGTAACAGACGCATCCTTTCTCAGGGTACCTGAATTCTTCTTGGGATCGAAACATATGCTGTCTGCTGAAAAGCAGCGTAGGATAGTGGTTGAGAGCCTGGGTCTGGACTCAGACTGCCTGGATATACAAACCCACTAGTCGTGCAATCATGGGCAAAATCCTTAACCTCACTTTCTCTTCTGTAAAATGGAATCATAACAATCCCATTTCACAATAGGATTTTGAAGATTAAATGAGAAATTCATATAAAGCATGTAGCACATGAATTTGCCTATGTAATGTCAAATAAAGGCTAGCTAACAGGATTGCTATTAGTAATTATTATTGGGTTTTCACACCATTTCTAAATATGTGTAATCCTAGCCAATTTCTACTTGCCAAGATACATCCGTCCAGCAGGTGTTCATGCAAAATCATTGCTGAGTCTGAGGTTCAAATTGAGATCACTCCTCTCCCAGCTTAAATCCTCTTCATCCTTAGAAATTCTTGACTGTATTCCATGGTTTCCACCCCCCTTTAATAGTAAAACATAAGATATATACCAAATTTTTGAAAATATGTTCTGGCTTGTGGTTTATATTTATGAATGGCTTTTTTTCTTCAGGTCAGCTTCTGGAAGCTGCTGAGCATTATGAAGCATTCCATCAATTGACGCAAGGGCGGGTATGGAAGGATGAGACAGGCTGCTTTCTCAACTTGTTGGCCTGTGAGAGTCTCCTGAGGACTTACAGATTACTCTCAGACAAAATGCTGGAAAATAAAGAATACAAACAGGCCATCAGAATTCTAATAAAAGCTTCTGAAATAGCCAAAGAAGGTGGGTGGAAAAGAACACTCTCACATTGCTTCCTTTAATGGGCAGACACTGCTTCTCCCAAGAGTGAAGTAAAAACCGTCAAGTGTTTGGGTGATTATTTCCTATGAAATGCAAAGACAAATGCCATCAATATACTTTCAAATTTCACTGTAGAATAGAGGTGCCTTAGTGCTGACAACAAGAAATCCATTAATTTCCTGAAAGCTTTATCTCCAAAATTACAACCCTCTGCGAGTAGTGTTATAAAACAGTGAACCTATAATGAGAAGGTAAGGTCATTTGCAAAAGTTAAGGGTGTGTGTGTGTATGTGTGTGTGTGTGCATGCGTGTGTGTGTGTGTGTTTGAGTGTGCATGCGTGTGTGTGTGTGTGTTTGAGTGTGCATGCGTGTGTGTGTGTGTGTGTGTTTGAGGGCATGTATTTCTTTCAATCTGAGAGACCTTTCATTGTTTGTAAATTCCCTATTGTTAGGTAATAGGGAAGATAATGATAAATATTTAGTTAGGAGTAACAGGAAAATAGAACTCTGCTATATTTTGGACTCTTGCTTGTCAAGGTGTGGCCTTATGCACTGGCAGCATCAGCATCACTAGAAGCTCATAAGAAAAGCAGTGCCTCTGAAACAAATAATACATTATATATTAAAAAAAGAAGAAGAAGATAGCAGGAAGGGAAAAATGAAGGGGGCGGAAATCAGAGGGGGAGATGAACCATGAGAGACGATGGACTCTGAGAAACAAACTGAGGGTTCTAGAGGGGAGGGGGGAGGGGGGATGGGTTAGCCTGGTGATGGGTATTAAAGAGGGCACATATTGAATGGAGCACTGGGTGTTATACGCAAACAATGAGTCATGGAACACTACATCAAAAACTAATGATGTATGGTGATTAACATAACATAATAAAGTTTAAAAAATAAATAAATAAATAAATAAATAAATAAATAAATAAAAGAAAAGCAGCATCTCAGGCTCCACCCCAGACCTACTTACTGCCTCGGAATCTGCAGGTTAGCAAGTTCCCCTGGTGATTCGTATGCACACGTACAGCAGTAAAAATGCTTTCATGAGAGCTGACCGTATCCTTAATATTCTATATCATTTGTATATGTATAAAATATAAAGAAAAAATTTGGAGCATATACTCATAAGCTTTTACTTTGTGAAATGCAAAGATATTTTTTACCATAATTTATCAATAGAGTTGACTTTTCATGAAGGAGAAAAAGAAGCTATGCTCCTTAAAGTGTATTAGCTCGAGGATATACTTAATTGATTGGTTTATCAAGTAACATATAGTTTACTTGGAATAAGCAGGACTGAATTTCTGGCTGTGATTTTAATTTTCTAAAGAGTAAAAGTAAACATCTTAGCTTATTCTCTCCGTTACTTCTTTTTAATGATATTATAATATTCATAAGAAATCACCTTCATTGAAAGATGTATCCCATTGAATGAACTGCTTTTGAATGACAGGTGATCTAGTACTTTGCCCAAAGGGGTAAACACTGACATAAATAGTTAGCTCTTAGATCAATTTCAGCAACTAACTTTAGTCACATGGAAAGTTATGTGGAATTTCCATGGAAAGTAATGTATCAATTAGGAAAAGGTATTTTGCTTTAGGTTCACATTTGCTAAATTGTAAGTTAGTTTACAAAGAAAGGAAGGCTCCAAGGGTCTCTTCACATAGTTGGAGTCTGCCAGGCAGTCTCCTTTTAAAAGGATCTCTTACTTTTCAAAGGACAGATGAGGAGAACAGGAGAAATCTTATGCTGTAATAATTTTTTAAATATCTTTTAAAAATGATAAACATTTGCCCCTGTATTTCCCATATAACAAAGTAGATAGGTTAAGGGATTGCACAGTATCTTACAAGAGCTCTGACAACAGCTGAATGCCCTGGGACAAGGCATTTCTTCTTGCTATTATGTCCTACTTTGGTTAAGGAGCCTGAAGCAGCAAACTGATGATTGCCTGCCTTATGAGGCATGCCTCCTACGTTGATTTGCATAATATTTAAGGAATCCTTACATCCACTGTGGGCCAACTCCTTTACTTGGGCACCTTGGTATAATGCACAAGGATAACACTGGCCGTGCAGTGGTCTCATGATTCTATTATTCTATTATTTTCATTTTTCAGTCATTCATTGGTCTTTAGTGTATTCACAAAGTTATACAACCAAAACGCTAATGCCAAACTCACTAGAAGTCACTCCCCACATTTGACTTTCCCTCTCTCATAATAACCATTAAGCTACCTTCTGTCTCTATGGATTTAACTATTCTGGAAAGTTCATATAAATGGAATCATATAATGTGTGTCCTATGTGTCCAGCTACTTTCACTTAGCATAATGTTTTCAAGTTTCATCCATCTTGTAGCACATATTACTACTACATTCCTTTTTATGGCTGAGTAATATTCCATTGTATGGTTACGTCCTATTTTCTTTATCCATTCATCGCCTGATGAACATTTATGTTGTTGCCACCTTTTGTCAACATTTGTGTACAAGTTTTCAAGCCTTTTGTCTCCAGACCCAGAAGTGGAATTGCTGGGCCATCGGATAACTCTATGTTTAACTTAAGGAGGAGATGACCTAGAGTTTTCCAAAGTAGCTGTCCCATTTTACATTCTTCCCAGCAACGTGTAAAGGTTTCAATTCACCCATAAACTTTCTCACCAGCACTTGTTGCTGTCCTTCTTTTTGTTTATAGCCATCTTTGTAGGTCTAAAATGATACTTCACTGTGGATTTAATTTACATTTCCCTGTTAGCTAATGATGTTGAGCATCTTTTTGTGGGCTTAGAGGTCATTTGTATATCTTCTTTGTAGAAATGTCTATGCAGATTCTTTGCCCATTTTCAAGTGGGTTGTCAATTTATTATTGAATTGTTTTAAGTATCCTTTATATATTCTAAGTGCAAGTCCTTCATCAGAGATATGACTTGAAAATAATGGGTTTTCTTTTCACTTTCCATTGAAGCACAAGTTTTTTATTTCGGGGAAGTCCAAAATAATTTATTTTTTGTTTTGTTGTTTGTGTTTTTGGTATTATAACTAAGAAGGCTCCCACAAATCCAAGGTCTTGAAGATTTACTCCTACATTTGATTCTAAGTGTTTTGTACAATTTTAATGCCTATATTTAGGCCTATAGTCTATTTTTAAGTGTGTGTGTGAAGGGGGATATGAGGAAGGTCCAACTTCTTGTTTTCCATGTGGATATCCAGTTGTCCCACTACTATTTGTTGTACACACTATTCTTTTCCAACAATTTGTCTTAGGACCCTCATCAAAAATTAATTGCCCATAAATGTTTTCTGGACTTTTAAGTCTATTGTGGTGATCTATGTATCTGTCCTTATTCCACTACTACATATTCTTGATTATTGTAGTTGTGTAGTAAGTTTTGAAACTGGGAAATGTGAGTCTTCCAATATTCTTTTTCAAGATTGCTTTGGTTATTCTGCATCACTTGCATTTCCACATGAATTTTAGGATTAGCTTGCGTATTTCTGCAGAAAGGACAGATGGAATTTTCATAGGGATTGAATTGAAACTGTCAAGCAATTGGGAAAATACTGCTATTTTAACACTCAGTCTTCCAGTCCATGATTATGGGTTATCTGTCCATTTATTACATATTTCATTTCTTTCAAAGATGTTTTGAATTTTTTAGTGTATACAACTTGCCTTTTTGTTAAATTTATTTCTGATGTTTTTTTCTGATGCTTTTAGAAATGGATATTTTTCTTTCATTTTCAGATTTTTCATTGCTTGGAGGTAGAAATAAAATTAACTTTTGTATGTTGATCTTCTATCCCGCTAAACTTATTAGCCTTAATGTTTTTTTATGGATTCCTTAGGATTTTTCCATATATAATATTATGTTATCTGCAAATATAGCTTTACTTCCTCCTTTCTGATCTTGATGCTGAAGGGTGACAGAATATACAACTCTAAAAACCACTTTGGCATAAGAAGCATTTGAGCTAAAAATCACTTGAAAAACAACAGAGGTACAAGAAGGGTATGTAATCTCCCTTTTCCTCCTGAAAACGGGAGATTAAAAACTGCCATGTGAAAGATGCCCTCCCTGTACCACAAGAAAAGAAATATTCTTCTATGAGGAGTCAGAGCCAAGAGAATTCTGTACAAACAGACTTTGTTAAAATAATCCTTATTTTCCTTTAGCCTCCCTGCATTGCTTAGGTTACTTTTCCACAATTGCCTCCCTTTGTTCAACCCAATACTAAAGCATGTAGATTTTGCAATTTCTTTGGCTCTTCATTCCTTATGAAGGCTCCCATATCACCTAAAACTTATGTAAATTTGTGTGCTTTTTCTCCTATTAATTTGTCTTATGTCAATTTAATTCTCAGGCCCAGCCAAAAAACCCGTAGAGGTTAGAGTTTGCCTCCCTTACAATGCCTATTTTTTTCTTGACTAATTGCACTGGCTAGAACTTCCAGCACAGTGTTAAATAGAATTGGTTCCGGAATACATCTTTGTCTTCTTCCTGAGCTTAGGATGAAAGCTCTCAGTCTTTTGCCATTAAGAATGATGTCAGCTGTGGGGTTTTTATTGGTACTCCTTAACATTATTAAGTTCCCTTCTATTCTAAGTTTGTTGAAGATTTTTATCATGCAAAGGGATTGGATTTTGTCAAATGCTTTTTCTGCATCTATTAAGATGATCATTTTATCCTTCCTATTAATATGGCATATTACTTTGATTGATTTCCATATGTTGAACTAATCGTGCATTCCTGAGATAAATCCCATTTGATCATGGTACATAATCCTTTTTATATGTTGCTGGATTCACTTTGTTAATATTTTGTTGAGGCTTTTATTATCTATATTCATAAGGGATATTGGTTTGTAGTTTTCTTATGATGTCTTTATCTGGTTTAATGTCAAAATAATACTGGCTTCATAGAATGATTTGGGAAGTGTTTTGTCTTAATTTTTGGAAGAGTTTGTAAAAAATTGATATTGGTTATTCTTTAAATATTTTGTAGAACTCACCAGTGAGGCCCTCTGGGCCTGGGATTTTCTATGTGGAAAAGAGTTTGATTACTAATTCAATTTCTTTACTTATGGATTTATTCTGATTTTCTGTTTCTTCTTGAGTCAATTTTGGTAGTTTATACCTTTCTAGTAATTTGTCTATTTCATCTAGTTTATCTAATTTGTTGGTATGTAATTGTTCATAATATTCCCTTATAACCCTTTTTATTTCTCTAAGGTCTATAGTGATCTTCCCTTTTTCATTCCTGATTTAAGTAACTTGAGACATCTCTCTTTTTTCCTTATTCAGTCTAGCTTAAAGGTTTGTCAATTTTGTTGACCTTTTCAATGAAACAATTTTTAGTTTTGCTGATGTTCTCTATTGTTTTTCTGTTTTCTATTTCATTTATTTTCACTTTAGTCTTTATTATTTTCTTCCTTCTCTTTGCTTTGGGTTTGGTTAGTTCTTTTTCTAGTTTTAGAAGATGAAAAGATGTTCCTTATTTTTTAAAATAGGTATTTATAGCTATACATATTCCTTTATGCACTACTATAGCTGGATCCCATTAGTTTTCATTGTTGTTTTTGTTTGTTTGTTTGTTTTCATTTATTTCTAAGTATTTTCCTGTTTATTACCTTCTGAGTTCTTCTTTGACCCACTAGTTATTTAGGAGTGTGTTTTATTTCCACATACTTGTGAGTCTCCCATATGTTTTGTTATCAATTCCCAATTTCATTCTCTTGTGAATACCATCTTCTCAGTTGGATCTACTACCCTGACCACTGTACTTAATATTGAAACCTGCTTTTTTCTCTTTACCCCCAATTTAGCACTCTCAATTCCCCTTGCCCTGATGTATTTTTTTTTCTCCCAGAGTACTTATCACCATACAATTTACCACAAAATTTATTATGTTTATTATTTATTTTGTATCTCTTTCTGTCCCTTTCCCCTAAAATGTAAGCTCTCCAAGGACAGAAAATGTTTCTGGTTAATTTACTGGTGTATTCCAAGTGCTTAGAGCTGTGCCTGACACAGAATAGGTCCTTAGTAAATATTCAGTGAATAAATGAATTAGTGAATATATGTTAGCCAAATAACAAATGGAAGTTTTAAGACACATTTTAATGAAACTTTTGAGTTACTCCCAAACACATTGTCTCTATCCATTAGACCTCTGTGATGACCCCCTCTTTAGATTCTCTACAGACTTACCAGTATAAGAATGGACAATTTAGGTCTTGACAATAAAACATCGTATTTCCTTTAACATGAATGATTATTGAATCATTAAAGCCAATACTAATTTAACCCACCCAAATAAACTACACAATAATATAAATAGTATTTTGCCCTTTTTTCCTTTGGTATATATGTCATTCAACTTTAATAATGCTGACATTTCCCTCCATAATTTTATGCTTTTACTTTATCTTAATTTTGTTTCAGTTAGTAAGCAGGAAGAGTTCTCGTGCTTAAATCCTATTTTAAAACTAATATTTAGTGTGACTCAACTGTTTCAATTAGCTGCCTCAAAATCAACAAGGGTCGATTTTTCTTTTCTTTGCTAGGCTGCCCTTTACATAAAATTGGATGCAAGTGGTGATATTAAATCAGCACATGCCACTGTTAGTACTTTAACACAGTTACAACATTTAATAGAGCAAGTACAACTTATAAATAATCAACTTTTAAATATCCAAGAGGCAACTTCCCCTCATAACCTCTCCCTCCTACCCCATCCTTCCCTTTCCTAGGTCCATCCTTATCCTTAGCACTTATAAACCTATAGCAGATAAGAAGTTAGGGCCCAGATAAACTGTAAGAGTTAAAAATCCCCAGGCTGGATTAATGGCACCATCAACTCTGCTGAAGTGGGATCTTGAGGCTATAATTCTCTGCAATAATGAAATTGCTTGAGAATAATAATAACAACACTGTCACTGGCATTTGCCATCCTGTTTTCTTGTAGTCTTTCGGTTGAGCCACTGCTTCACAAGTAGTAATTCAGTGAGTGGTAAGAGTGAATATAGTATGGAGAATTGTTAGCTCCTGCTGAAATCCATCATGGCTGGAATACAGAGTTCAGAAATCTAAAGGGGAGTGGGGGGTGGATCTGCCAGCATTTGTATTACCCAGGAGTTAGGTAACATTAAAAGCCAAAGAGTAGAAAGAGGATAGTATTCTTTTTTAAAAATGAGAAACTAATGGTTCTGGTAAGTCTGTTGATTTATATATTTAGTATATAAATGTAAAAAATTTTGTATTTATTAGATGGTATGATATATGTCTTACTGAAGCACGTTACACAACTACACATACTGCTTTGGAAAGAAGATTTTGATAATTCCTGGAATAAAACAAATTCACAGAAATTAGAAAGGCTACAATTCCTTTGAAAAGATGATGAAAAGCATTACCAGTCAGTAGCAAAGAAAAAATGTGTTTGGATTTCAAAATACCCATGGAATGTTGTACCAAGAAGGCAAGCTGTCAGTCATTTTCATCCCAGGTTTTAACCAATAGCTTTTAAATTGAACCTAATCAAAACAATAATTCCTTAATTTGCTAACTATCTGCCCTGTTAGACTTAACTGAATGTCAATTTCTCTGTGCACATGTGTTTGTGTAAAGCTGATGCCCTTTACCAATTATTTCATGTCTGTAGTAGCAGCTATGCTGGATGACTATAAGTCTTTACATGGTGGACCAGTATAGAAATTATATACGAATGTCAAAATGATAATACTGAGCTGTGTATGTAGAAGAAAACTCCTCTTACTTACATGGCTAATGGACTATAGTCTAACATTTGTGAGTCGGCCTCCAATATCAGCCTTTTAAAATCAGTACACAGTGAGGTTTCAGGGATTGTTCATAAGTCTGTACACTCTGTTACAACTTTCTACTGTCTTAAAAAGCAAAAATTCTGCTTATTGTCGTAAATCAGTTTCTTTAATGCCATGACAATTTTTCTACTTTTTCAACTTTAGGAAGTGACAAAAAGATGGAAGGAGAAGCTTCCTATTACTTGGGCTTAGCACACCTAGCTGCTGGAGAGTATGAAACAGCATTAACAGTAAGTTGAAGTAAACTTTTAATCATTGCCATTTTTAATTTTTACTTTATTGTATTTATTTTACTTTATTGTATGTTGTTATAAAACCAACAGAAATGGGTGGTCCTCTACCTTTATATAGAGACTAAAGCAGAATAACTGTTCCAGAAGCAGAAAAAAATTGGTTTTATTGCTTATAGTAGGCAGTATATAATCAATTACCATGAAGTGCTTTAGGATACATGAAAGTTAAATATATGGAGTAATGTGACCCTCTACACTCACTCCCATATCATTGAGGATGAGAGGATATGGGTTTAAATGATGGCAAACAGTAAATAGTAAAAAAAAAGAAAAGAAAAGAAAAACAACCAAATTATAGTAAACATGATTTGGGAAATTTTGCTTGGAAAAGACTGTGGTTATTAAGCATTCGAGTGAATTGCATTGTTATGGACTTTTGTGGGGGGAGGCAGCAAAGTTGGAGAGCACTGTTAGTTCCAATCTGAGAAGTAGCCTGCTTCATGATAAAAATCAGTGTGTGCCTATTTTATGACCAGAGTTCATGTGTTTGGCTAAAAAACAAACAAAAATATGTCAAGAGCTATTTTTTTCTGTATTATAACAGAAATCATTTTTTCTTTCATTTTTCTCTTAGCTCTAATATATTTCAAGTGTAGCTTCCTATTTCATTTCACATATATCTCTTGTAATCATTTTATCTGATATACAGTATTGGTTTTATCTTCAGTTTTGAGGATTTCTGATTTGCTGCTTTGGTCAGTCACACCAAGGAGGATTCTTGTATTTGGGCTAGATATTTTTCTCTGTCACCCTTAAAATTGGGGGGGCGCCTGGGTGGCTCAGTTGGTTAAGCCTTTGGCTCAGGTCATGATCCCAGGGTTCTGGGATTGAGCCCCACGTCGGGCTCCCTGCTTGGCGGGAAGCCTGCTTCTCCCTCTCCCTCTGCCTACAGCTGCCCCTGTTTGTGCTCTTTCTCTCTCTGTGTCAAATAAATAAAATCTTTAAAAAAAATTGAGTCATCGTGGGAAACAGACTATTCTAGATGACTCTTCTGCTTAATAGTTTTTGGTTAATGACATACATTCAGCAATGTTGTGTTCTAGGGAACACAGAAGTCAGCACTTCCCTTTAGGAGCTAATTTAATGAGAATGGCCAACTTGAGAACATAAGTATAATTCAAAGCAGGATGAACAGGGGTTTTCTGAGTCCGGAGGTAAGAGTGGTTGATTCCACACTGAAGATCAGGGAGGTTGCATGGAGAGCTTTTGAAGAGCAGGATTTCTACAGACAGAAATTGTGGGAGTCAAGAATGATAGGACATTAGACACAGACACAGACACAGACACACACACACACACACACACACACACACACACTCAACATGAACATACTCAGTATGTTTGGGAAGCAATGAATTGTCAAGTGCAGGTATGAAATCAAGATGGAAAATTAGGTGAAAACTAGCTTATGAATTCTCTCTCTCTCTCTCTCTCTCCCTTTCTCTCTCTCTCTCTCTCTCTCTCCTGGTCAATGCAAACACATGGCAAAATAAATTCAAGCAATACAATAGAGTTAACATTGAAAAATACACCTTCCATCCACCCTGGTATTCAGTCTCATTGTTCTTTTCTCAAAGGCAAATGCAGTTACAAGTTTCAGGTTTATCCCTCCAAAAATATTCATATGTATGTATAGCATATAAGTGCATATACATATGTGTTCTTTTTTGTTGTTTGCAAAATTGTACCATTTTATATGTAGTGTTCTGCATCCTGAGTTAATTTCTTCCTCACTGACGCATAAAGACATGCCTCATTTTAAAAGGGCCACATGGTGTCCCAAGTTATAGTTGTACCATAATGGATTTAACCGGCTCCTGTTGGTGGGCATTTAGGTTATTTCCAATCAAGTTTTATTGCAAAGGTTGTAGCAGTGAACAGCTTTGTGCCAAAGCAAGAGATGATCTACAAAATAAATTCCTAGTGGTGGAAATGCTGGGTCAGGGAAGAGATAAATTATATTCTTTTTCTAAACCTCCCTTCAAAGAAGCTTCATCAGTTTACATTCCAACAAAAATAAATGAAGGTACCTGCTTCCTTTGGACATTAGGCACATGTGTGTAATATGTGTTGAGAATGTTTTTCCAGACCACTGTTTTTTGACCTTACTTATGAAATTTTTCCATGCTGAAATTCCATGACCAAATTTATCGATCTCTTTTTCCATGACTTCTGGATGTTCTTAGGAAGACTGTCCTCGTTCCAAAATTATCATTTTTTTAATTTTATGGGGGGATGGAGGGTCTTTTTTTTTTTAAGATTTTATTTATTTATTCATGAGAGACAGAGAGAGAGAGAGAGAAGCAGAGCGAGAAGCAGGCTTCCCCACTGAGCAGGGAGCCCGATGCGGGACTCGATCCCAGGAGCCTGGGATCATGACCTGAGCCGAAGGCAGACGCTTAACCATCTGAGCCACCCAGGCACCCAGGGGATGAAGGGTCTTAAATGCTTTGTTGAGGAGTGTGAAACTCATTTTAAGCAATGTGGGATTTTTTAATGATTTTTGATGAGGCTGGTGACGTGATCACATTAATTTATTCACAACTATTTATTAAGTACCTTCTGTATGACAGACATCATGCAAGGCACTGGATCTGATCTATAATTTTAGGAGATAACACTAGGGGTGTAGTCCAGTAATGAATGGATTGAAGAAGCAATATTTGGCATCTAAGGGACAAATTTCTTGAGACTGTTACTCCTTTCAGAAAAGTATTGAAATTGTTCTCCTGGAAACTATAAACCAAACATGAATTTCATGTTCATATTAGCTGTGTGAACTTGGACAAGTCCCTTAAACTCTCTAAGTCTCAATTGCCTCTCCAAGGGGACTAATAACTACACTTACTTTTTTTAGGGTGTAGTGGATTGAATGGTGGCCACAAATGTCCACTTCCTAATCCCTGGGGCCTGTGATTGTTACCTTGTTTGGGAAAAGAGTCTTTGCAGATGTACTTAAATTAAGGGTCTTGAAATGAGGCAATCATCTTGGATTATCTGGGTGGGCTTTAAATCCAATGACAAGAGAACTTCTAAGAAAAAGGCAGAAGGAGATTTGAAACAAAGGACAAGAAGACACACATAGGGAGGAGACAGCCGCGTGAAGATGGCGCAGAGATTGGAGTCATGCTGCCACAAGTCAAGGAATGCCTGGAGCCGCCAGAAGCTGGAAGAGGCAGGAGGATCTTCCCCCAGAGCTTTTGAAGGAAACACAGCTCTGCTGACACCTTGATTTCAGACTTCTAGCCTTCAAAACTGTGAAAGAATCAATTTCTTTTATTTTAAGCTATTTAGTTTGTGTTAATTTGTTACATCAGTCCTAGGAAGCTAATATGTAGGGTGATTAGGAGAGATCATTTATATAGAGTTTTAAAAGAGTGCCTGCCTTGTATATAATAAACCTTTGGTAATTGTTACCTTTTATTAGTTTTACTCTAACTTAAGTCTCTGGACTTTAGCAGTAGTAGTGAAGATGGAGGGAAGTGGCTTCAGAAGTTATGAAGGACTTGGTAATAGACTAAGTATGGAAAGTGGGGGAGACAGAGGTGCCCAGATGGCCCTAGGTTCCTGGCTGTGAAACTGGATGGATGCTGGGGTCATTTACTAAGCTAGGGAATGCTAATGGATACCCAAGCTTGAGAGAAATGGAGAGTTCACTTTTGAATATGTTGAATTTGAGGAGTTTGGAGTTATCCAAGGAGAGATCAAATAGTGGTATATGTAGGTCCACAGCTCAAGAGGAAGTCTAAATTGGAGATACTATACACATTTGATACCGTGTAAATATGCAAGTCTTCAGCATATTGAAGCACTGGAGTGGAGATTTCCTAGAGAGAGTTGATAATGATGAATGAAAAAGGGCTAGGGCCAAGCTGGGTGAAGGAGGTAGGTACAAAGCAGGGGTATCCACGGAGGTGGGAAGAAAACCAGGAATAGATGATCATATACAAGCCAAGGAAACCAGGCATATCTAAAAGATAGGAATATGCAAACCCCTTCTGCCTCCTATCCCAGGTTTTGGGCTGGAATGAGGGTCCCTTGAAGATATTTCCTGTCAGAACTCAACCCCTTCCCCCAGGCATGTACCTTGGTTAGAGTCAGCGTTACTTAATTCTTGTCATTTAATGCTCCATCCAGGGTGGAGACTTTGGGAAACACGGCAGACCATGGTCCAGGCCCCAGGCTCACTGCTACAGTAATGAGTAGCCTTTGCAGTTGGGAAGAATGGGGGGCTGTCATCAGAGCCCAGGTCTTGCTTATAGTAGAATATTGTCTTTTTGGAACACAGCTTGCCCAGAACTGAAGGCTTATAGGAACTAAGCTTAAAATTTGGACCAAGTCCATGGGCAGAGCTGTAGGACCAATGAAGGATCTGTTGTCAGATCTGGATACAAGATGCTGAGAGCAAAGTAGAGAAGGCATCAGATTCACAGCTGTACAACAGGAGACGGGGAACAGGTACCAAGAAATCACCGAGGAACAGGAAGCTGGAGTTGGGGTGTGGCTGGGTTGGAGAACGGACATGAGCAGTTGGCCCTGATTCGGGCCATGGAGGTCTTCTTGCTCAGGTTGATTTTAGAGGGCAGCCTGTTTTTGCTACTGTAATGAAACAGATTTCCACAAAACCTGATATCTTGCTTTGATTTCTGATTGAAGGTCATGTCTTTTCCTTCTCTCTAATACCTAACTTTAGCCACTTTCCCTGCTTCCTTTCAGAGATAAAAGCACTAAAACCCCACAGCAGGACAGAGCACTCCTGATTTAGTGACTATATTATAAAAAAATTACATGATCAATTAATAAGTAGGATTGATTCATTGATTGATTGATGAGATATCTGCCCAGTTATCTGATCACAAAGTAAACATTCAACATACAAAAAATTTTTTCTTTTGAAATCCTCTCTTTTCCAACCTCCCCACCCTGTGCAGTATGAC